AGGTGTTGTGGCCCAAGCCACACAAAATGATCCAGTTCTGGGCCATGTTGTTCTGGCTGTTCTGAAAGGGGAGAGCCTCCCAGTAGGACCAGAGTGGAACCCTTTCAATACCAGTAGCTCAGAACTCAGCTTCCATGAGGGTCGCCTACTCTGGGGATCAAGAGTAGCGATCTCAAAGTCATTGCAGGCCCAAGATCTTGGTGTTCTTCATGTCAGCCACCCGGGTATCGAGAAGAGCAAGATGATTACTAGGAGCCATGTTTGGTGGCCAGGCATTGACAATGACATTGCCACCAGCATGAAGAGCTGCGCTACGTGCCAGACTCAACATCATGCTGCACAGCCGGTTCAGCAAACGCCGTGGCCTTTTCCACGACCCAAGTCGAGGTTTCACATTGATTTCAGGGTACCATTCCTACTAGGTCACACATTCTTGGTTATTGTGGATGAATTCTCAAAGTGGATAGAAGTCTTTCCAGTGTCTTCCACATCTGCAGAAGCTACCATTTCTGCCTTGAGAGTTACATTCACTCAGCATGGCCTGCCTGATGTCATAGTTTCCGAGAAAGGTCCTGCATTTACCAGTGCCTAGTACCTTGAGTTCCTAACTCGAAATGGAATACACCGCATGCTTGTACCGCCGTATTACGCTGCTTCAAACGGCACATCTGAACTAGTTGTACAAACTGTGAAGAGCAAACTCAAGAAGTCTGGCTCTGGGAACTTCCAAACGCAGATCTTCAGGTTCCTGTTCCACTATAGGACCATACCACATGAAGTGACAGGTAGGCCACCGTGTGAACTCATGACGGGAAGAATGTTCAAGACTCCGTTGGATGTCCGGAGGCCAAGCCTGCAGACCTCTGTGTACCTAAAACAACTCAAGTAGAAGTTGTATGCTGACAGAGGGTCCCGGCAGGCTCCATCACTGCAGCCAGGTGATGACGTGTACGCGCAAAACTTTCGCAGGGGTAAACCCTGTGTGCCTGCCAGTGTTGTGGACGTCACTCCGTCATCGGGCAGTGTCCGTTTTGAAGATGGCACCTTGGGAAACCGACACAGCGACCACTTGCGCCTTGTGCAGACAGATACATTGGCCCCTCCTAAAACTGGTATTGCTGCAGCTCCACCACAGTTAAAGCCACCGCTTCTCCATGCATCAGCTGCTCCAGAAGTGCCTCATCAGGAACAGTTACCAGGAACTAGCTTCTCTGGGAGTAGCTGTGCCACGGAGAGCGATGGGACTGCGCTCAACAGAGGTGTGCATGTGCACAGTGACTCTGTCGTGCCTACGCTAGCACGCAAAAGTTGCGACGTGGCACGAGGACTAGGAAAGCAGTGAATAGGTACTCCCCGTAGTCTTCCTCCTAAGAGGGGAGGAGTGTTACGTTATTAGCTCAAATGCAGCGCTCCCACACAGCGCTAATATTTGTGTTGAGCTGTGCAAGCCTGGCACAGCAGGGGGGGGGGGGCGCTTTGTAAACAATAAACACAGTTCGTTCTGGGCAAAGGGGCTCAACATGTGCTCATGCTCTTCGCGGGCCTGATGGCCTACAGTTCACGGTAGTCACTACCGCTCGGCCATTCGTTAATCTACAGATGTAACAAAAGTAGTTTATTAAATATCTGAAAACATACATGAACAGATGATTATGTGACAAATGGCCAATGTCAAAATTGGGACAGAGCTCTCACATCCAAGAGAAAGATGAAGTCCAAGACATGAAAATTGTGTAAAAAAACTTAAAAGGTCTCGAAGAAAAAGGCAAGAAAGAGCTTAGGTTGAACACCACATAGCATCCTCTACAAGTAAACACAACAGGAGGCAACCGTTACCCATACGCTGAAAAAGTAAGCACATCTTAAGATTACCAATTGACAGTCTATATGACCAAATAAATGATCAAATACTCACAAGCTTGTTAACTTTGTTTACAGATGTGAGACTTAAGACAAAAATATTAGGTGAGCTTAATGTGGTGTGAAAGCACTAAAATATGTCACGAGCATAGCACCCTACATAAAAAAACACTAACAGCACTAAAAAATGCAAGCACTGACTCACAGTGCTGCTAGAACAAACAATGGAAACAGAGTAAATAAACACACATTATTGGCCCTGGCTTCTCAGTCTGAGTTAATGTTAGCTTGATCAAAAAATGGCAACATGAGGTGTAAAAAGCCGAAGACAAGGGCAGTGTTGAAGTGGTCACAAATCTTGGCTTGCACGACCTTGGGAACTACCACAAGATACTTGCAAAGTAAGATTAGTGTTCTGGCACACTTGCTCAAAGAAAAGAAAAATAAACAATAACAGCACAGTGGTGACAATCAAATGAGTGTATATAGCGAGTATTGAGCGTAGTGCCTTCTCTGTCACTTACAAATGTGCAAAAAATTGGTCCCAACATGACAAACCATTCCCCTGCAAGAAGCCTTCTTCGCATACCTGCATGGCAGATTTATTTAAACTCTAGCTATATGAAATACTTCCTACAATCCTACCTTTATCTCCTACATCTATTTCACTGTTTCTCAAGTAAGTGATGACTGTGCTCTTTCTTGCACGCCTTTTCCAAGATCACTCAACATGACGTGTGAGGTGCGAGAAGATTTATTCACACAGGAAATTGATATGAATCATGCAGTTGATGTCAATAGATTGCTTACACTGTTACTACATTAAGACTTAAGGTTATTGGAATAACTTTTTCTATGAGTGTCCTCCCTCATTAAGTTATACTTCTTGGCTAGTTAGTTTATCCTGACCTATAGTAGAGCACAACAGTAGAAATAACAAACATTGAAAATAAAAAAATACAAGCACTCTGTTGTCTTTGTGTTCATCTCTCCACCCGATATGAGCTACCGCAAGGCGTAACAATTTTCTCCAATAGTTCAGAAAGCTGTGAAGCATCACGGACACGTCTGACGGTTCCGTGATGATAATCTTATTAGGACATATAGTACACATGCACAGATGATGGCTTGCTAGCCAGAATAATTGTTTCGTGGCTGTTCAAGTTTCCACACAAAATACCCCGAGTTGACTAAGCAAAGGTGTGGTACCTCATCAGTACAAACAAATATTTTCATACAGCTTATTACAAACTGAATAATAGATTGGTTAATGAACATGACAGCAGGGAAGCACAATAAAAATAATAATGTGAGACTTTACGACATGCATTACGTTGCTCTTCCCACAATGTTGTAGCCAGTGTATCCCGACAAGGTACAGTTCTCACAAGACCCAATGTAACACAGCACTGCTTCATTTCTCTGAAACAATCTACCAAACGAGGCACCTAAAAAGCTTCAACAACAGAACCTTTGTTGATATCATTGCTTACAATCATGTTGATTGGGATTACTTGTGAAGTGGACAGCCTCGACAAAGACCTCAGTGCATGAACGTGATTGACATGGTGTTATTAAAGGTGTCATTAAACCTAAGAGCATAATGACTTACATCGACAAGCGAACACTAACAGTACTTGAAGAATGCCAGCACTAACTCACAATACTCCTAGGAAGAATGAAGGTAACAGAATGAAAGACATACGATTGCCTCTCCCTTCTCTGTTCAAGATAAAGCAAGCTACACTGGGCAAGCAGAGTTGTGGAAAAGTTGACAAAAAGCGCACACACGAAGCGACCACAAATCTTTGCTGGCACAGCCTTGGGAACATTCGCTGATTACTTGAAATCTAAGTTGAGTGTTATGGCAGAACCGCTCAAGAGACAGGACAGTGAACACTCGGTGGCACAGTGCTGACCAAGAAATAAGTGTCCACAGTTAGTGCGATGACGCTATGATCTTCACTGTCACTTCTTATTGGGCAAATAAGTGGTCACAAGATGACACACCATTCCCCTGAAAACGTCACCCAACATGTTGAGCCTTGCATTTACACCTGCATGGAAGAGTTAAACTCTCTGCAACGCGAGCTGTCTCTTCTACAGTTATATCCCAGCCGCTAAAGCTAGTGATATGATTGCGCTCTTTCTTGCACCCCTTTTTAAACATTCCTCCGCACTAAATGTGTGGGGTGTGACAGAATTGATTTGCACACGGAGTTGATATGAACCATGAAGTTGATGTCAACTTAAGAGATTTCTTGCACTATTCTAGTAGTAAGTATTGCAATAACACTTCTTGTCCCTGATCACAAAGTACTTGTGCGCAAGTAGGTCGATAAATACGTCATAGAGAAGCACACAACGGGTGGAATGAGAAAACAAAAACAAAGACAACACAACCACTCAGTAGTTTTCTAGTTTTTGTATTCATTGTTGCACTCACTAAATGCTTTTATAGGCTGTAGCAATACTTCCCCATTGTTTAAAAAGCTGTGAAGCATCACGGTCACATATGTGGATATTAAAACGATAACAATAATTATTAGATAATGTACAAGCACAGAGATGACGACCTGTTAAGCGCTTTGTTTCGTGTCTTTTTATGCTTGTTCAAGATGACCCCAAAAAATCTTAAATTGACAAAGCAGAACTGCTGTAGCTTAGCAGTACAAAAAAATATTTTCGTAGAGCTTAGCACAAACTGGTGAACTTAGTACTAAACTGGAGAATGAATAAGACAGCAAAAGAACACAATAAAGTTACTATAGTGCTTTGCTCTGAATAATGAAGCCAAGGTGTCGTACATAAAACTCATAGCTGTAAGTGGTTCTACATAACTCAGTACTGCCACAATTCTTTGAAACAATTCGTGAAGTGTCATTTAATGAGAAGCTTCAATCGAACTTTCACCGATATGATCACTCACATTCAGGCCGATCGAGGTGTCTTCTTAGGTGGACACTCTGCACGAACGTCTCAGCGCACGAAGGTTACAGATACGAATGCTTGGTTGTATGCATTTTGCGGTGCTTGTGCAGTGAAGACACTTGTACGAAGGCCTTGAGGCATACGTGGCATTGATATGGACGCTCACCCGTATGAATGCGCACGTGTTGAGATAGAGTTTTCTTTAGACTGAAGCTCTTGAGGCATATGGAGCACTGATATGGCCGTTCACCCGTGTGAGTGCGTAGGTGGACTTTCAGATTACCCTTTATTGAAAAGCTCTGGGGGCATAGGTGGCATCCATGCGGTCGCTCTCCTGTGTGACGCATGGCATGTTTTTTTAGATCATCTGAACGCTGTGTCTTATAGTGACACAGTTCACATTGAAAAAGGCGTCTTTGGCGTGGCTGCTTAACATCTGCAGTTGGTGGAGTGTTGGAAGAGCACAAATCTACAAAGAAAACAAAAGAGTTTGTGAAGTGCTGCATATTTTTAAAACAAAAAATGCTCAAGAACTGCGCTATATATTTATAAGTATTGCTGAGTGTGGGAATCGATAATTTTTCATGACCACCTTCAGTTCTTTGACGTGAGCTTATTTACAACAAACAAGTGTTTTTGCACTTAAGTTTTACAGAAATGCCACCTTTGTAACCTTGATTATCACATGCCAACGACAACAATGAAAAGAGATTAATGCTAATTCATAGCAATTATCTGATGAAATCTTGAAAGGAAATTCGAAAAATGTACTGCACAGCGTATCTGTCAAAATACATTCGTGTTCATACTTTTAAAAACAAACACTATTCTACATAATCCCTATTCAGCCATAGCTATGTCAAATTTTTTATTTCTCACTCTGCATATGAGCATGCCCCTAAAATCATAATTAACGAAATTTCATGCTAATCTACACATCACACAGCAAAACAATAGAATCATCACTTGCAATTTATTTATAGCTAATGCTGAAAAAGGACAAAGATGTCTGTAATAAAGGGCATCAAATACATCCAAATGAAAAACGAAGAAGGATAAATTCTAGTACTATCTAACAGAATCTAATCATATTTCACAGAAACACTTGTAATGCATAAAACTGAACTCTTTTCAAAGACTTGTAGATAACAATGAGGCATTGCGTGAATGTACCGAAACTTTATGTAAACAAATGCGTGACCATTACAGAAAACATTGAATAACTAAGAAAGCAAGCCACAAAAAGAATCGGTGGCAAAAATGCAACGTGCTTAGAAGATGCGGCACTCAACAAAAACATCTAAGGTATTAAAACAATGCAGACAACATGTGTTCATATAAGAAGGTTTTCCATCAAGATTGACCTCCCAATCTCCTGATGCCTAGAGAGAAAGAGAGAGGAATAAAAATTACCAAATGTAAAAGTAAGCACAAACAAACTCGCAAAGCACACAAAAATTGCTGCTGAATAAAATAACACAATTTATTGCACAATTTTTGAGCTAGCAATGTCATCCTCGTCAAGTTTTGCTACACCGGTGATGATTTCTTTTCAGAGCCTTTAGTACAGAAGCCTCAGTTAGGCGATTCATATCCAGAGCGCACTGCGGGCTTCAATGTTAAGCTGCTGCGGTAGCATCTACATTTTTCTGAGTCTGAGCCATGTCTCTACAATGCATTTTGCTCTTTTATGCAACTAAGACTGCCGATAACCTTAAAACGAAGGATTGGCGCACTGGTGAAGTTTTTCACAGCAAACAGCGAATCAAAATTTCATCCTTGTTGCCACTGTAATAGTTAACAGGAAACAGTCAAAGGAAAATAAACCGTTCACCTAAATAAGCCTATATGAAAAAAGAAACATGAACGAAACTGAATTCCTGAAAAGATATATCCATCTTTAGAAAAATCGCCACGCCTGTGCACAGCACTGTCACAGTGAAAGCGGAAAGAGCGCTCTTTCGGAGCCTTTTTTAACACTTTTTGGGTAAATGCTGCAAGTACACTCACAGGGTACCCACCACGCCATTATTAATTGTATAGTAGGCAGGCATTCACAATGCCATTTTTCGTCACTCTTCGAGAAGAGTGGTACTACCCGCTGCACACCTGCAAGAAAGTTTGTGCAATTTTTTTGTGCTGTAGCTGGCGCCAGTGAAAAATTGTGCCAGAAGCTTTTGTAATCCCAACAATGGGTACGCGCTATGCTTAATAAGTAAACAAGATGAAGCATTTGTAAACAGTCAAAGCATTCGACGACCCACTTGTTGCACATTTTGCATTATGTGACACCTGGTTGCTCCTTTTCTGCTCTTTGTGCAATGCCTGTTAAGCGACTGTTTAGACTGAACAGGATGGGTTTGTCCTCCAATATGTGTATCAGCTTCCACAGATATGTCCCTTTAGATAGGGCAGTTGCGTCAGCATAACATTATCTGGAGGCGCATCAAGTGCTCCGCAACATAGTCGTGCGTGGGCAGATGCACATATCACCTGTAATTTGAGAAAGATCAGATCAAGCCTCTTCAAGGAGAGTCTTGATAGATTAAGGTTCTTGCATCAGGCGATAGAAGCTTTTAGTCCCTTGTATGAGCATGCACGGTGCATGTCAGAGTTCTACTATATGTCCGACGAAATGAACGAGCAATCATTTACCAACTCAATAACAAGACAAATATTAAGTGAACCTTACATGATGCCATGGAGGTAAAATGTGTAATTGATTAATTGAGCATATTCTCCTACGTGGACTAGAAAACACAAAGAACATTAAAAAATGCAAACACTTTTTCACAATGCCAGAACGATGAACAATAGCCCCCCGCTTCATTGTCAAACATAATGAATGCTACATTGGGCAGGCAGAGGTACAGAGAGGTCAACAAAGAGCGCACACATGAAGTGACCACAAATGTTCGCTAGTAGAGCATCCGAAACCACTTCAGATTACTTGTGAAGTAGGCCGAGTGTAATGGCACAACAGCTCAAGAAATGGGACAGTGGCAGAGTGCTGACAATAAAGGGGTACCGACACCTTTTTTTCGGAGGTGAGTTTACTCTGCCATACAATTCTCCTATATAAAAAGATGACTCTGAGCAAGTGCGATGCTCGAGTCAAAATGGACCGTAGTGCGAGCACCAGCAGCGATGACATTGTTTCAGCCAGATTACCAATACGAAAGCTAGAAATGGCCATGCTGTCCTAGAACATCGAAACCGCAAACGTGCGAGCCCCCAACAAACTGGATAGGTGGCAATTAAAATAAACCACACAATCACAAAACTTATTTCAGAAGCATCGTGCAATGTATGTTTAGTGTAAAAACTGCGCAGCGACATTCATACAAACGAGTTACATTTTTAATCATTTTCACCTAAAAAACAATACGCATGAGCCAACGTACTCATGACTGTGGTTGCATGAAGTGTCATAAGAAGTCGACACAGTCCTTGCAGTAACCTTGCATTTTTTTTCGCTTTTTTAAGCATACGAGGATACCGTACACAATAAAAAACGTCTTGTGACCTTGCACAGTGATGATTCAATCCTCTCTAAGTTAAACGTAGTTTAAATGCAATTAGCATCACCAGTTATGGTTTGCGAAAGCGTAAAGGTAAACGCTTGCATACGTACGTAAATGTTTAGGTCTGGGGAGCCAACACGTTAGGGAGTTTCAGAATAGCGCACCGCGAGCCCATGCGGTGCGGTCGCTAGCACTGCACATGCGTCGTAACGGGAGTCGGCGTTCGCGGCCCGCACGCAGAAAATCTGAAATTGCATGCGGCGATCGCGGCCTGCATGTAGCCCGCAAACACTGGTTTCAAGGCTACGATGTCGCTGCAATCGTGCGGTGCTCTTTGCAGCAGAGCAAACGTTATCCTAAAGCTCATACCACAGAACACCTATACACTACCATTTACTATACACTACCATACACTTCCTTGCTCATACGGCGCCCGCTACGCCCGCAGCGCTTGCAAACGGTATTCGAAAACTCCCTGTTGAAAAACATGCGTTCCCGTAACGGTAAACGCAAACCGGTATCCTGTTAACGTAAAGAAGTATACGGCAAGGTTTCTTTTGGCGCTGCATAAGTGGTTGCCAGACCAGGAGGGTCAGTGTTGCCAGACTGCCACTAAATTTGACTGCAAATTTTTTTTTTGTAGTTGTGGCTACTTCGTGAGGATTTGGTGCCATCCGCGGTGCATTTCGCGAACGAGCGATGCTGGCCGTTTTAATTAACGGAATGAACCGCGCCTAGCAGCAGTCGAGCGTGGTGCTGCCGTGCAATTAAGAGGCCGTTTTAACTAACGGAATGAACCGCGCCAAGCAGAAGTCGAGCGCGGCACTGCTGTGCAATTAAGAGGTTGCTTTAATGTATACGTCTAAAAGCCCCTTATATGTGCAAGTTCTACCGATTCCAGTTGGATGCGGTGCTGATGCGATCGACTTCGTACGGCGTGGCCGAGGCGGAGACTGGACGCCAACAAAGCGGGAGTTTATTCGCTCCACTTCACTTCGGACGTGTACACGCACAACATGCAGTTGCTGACTGACTTCGAAATGTCGACAAAGAACCTCTGCCATAGGTGTTCTGTGCCTCCGCCTTAAGAAGTCATGCCATCTCAATGTTGCGCACGCCTGCTGCTACAGTTGCGGCATGCGTACGCTGCGCAGCAGACGACAAAAAAAAGCGACGCCAAGGGAGCGACATGTCCATAAAACCAATAGAGGCTGCGTTCCAATTCTTAGACAGCACGGAGAGAGTCTACGAAGACTGCTTAGAAGACTGGCAGGAAAGACGTGGGGGATGTCAGTAGACGCAATGATGGAGCTCTACAGGGCCCTGTTTCTCGGTTTCCTCAGATATAGCTTGCCCGTGCTTAGCAATACCTGCAAGACCAATGTTCGTCTTCTACAGGCAGTACAAGCCCAAGCACTGAGAGTGTGCCTCGGTGTGCCCAGATGTACGTCAACGGAAGCAACAATTGCAATTGCTGGTGACTATCCGATACAAACTCACATTGTTGTAGAAGTCCTGAGAACGCACATCAGACACTTCGCACGTGCTCCCTGCCATCACCTTGCACTGTTGCCTTCAGAGAGGCGCCAAGCATCGTTCGCCAAAATCATAGTGAAATACAACGATAAACTTCCCTCGGGCTTCACTCCTGCATCTAAACCATCCATACCACCTTGGTGTCTTATTCGACCCACAGTGCATCTTAGTGTACCAGGGATCCGGAGGAAATCTGAGCTTTCGTCGCCCGTGCTGAAACAACT